CATTGTTTATATATACTCATGTGTATATATCGCGAGGGAAGAAGGGATGGAAGGAGAAGGAGAGTGCTCATTAAATGGAGATTTAAAATGTAATCCTCACAGTTACATGTGGTAGCCATAAAGAGTAACAGAGGGAAAGGAATAAACAAAGTAGAAAACTGAAATGACTTTTTAAACTGTAAACTTACTTAAAACTAACACAGTTATTAAACAGAAGCCTTTTTGCAAATTGCCTTTATTCTGGGAGTCTTTAATATTTTCTGTTCAGTAAATCCTTATCCGTTAAGTGCCTGCCAATAACCTCTGCATCAACACGCAAGCATCCACATTTCTAAACTTTATGACAGTTAAAAAGCCATTTTATGAATATTTATGAAGACAGTAAATTATTAAAATAAATATAGATATTTACACATTAGAACAACATCTTCATTTAACGAATGTGGAAAAATGTTAATATGTGAGCATTTTAAAGATGAATTGGTTTGGCCTTCAGGGCTTTTGTTGCTCTATTAAAAGTTAATTTAGGACAGAAATTATGTCTTTCCTTGAATCCCAAGCCCAAAAGATTGCACCATCATCAAGACTCAAAATATTTTAAAAAAATGAATCTGGTAATAGTATATCTAGAGGCTGGATATTGAAGTTACTGTGTAGTTCTCCCTGAAAAAAAAAGTCTCCTCTGGCTTATGTGCTCACAGTGGCATTACATATTCAGACGAGCTTTAGGGCAATGGAGCTGGGTTCTAGTGAGGTGGTTTCATCAGTCTTTCTGTCACTACATAGAATCACAGAATGGCCTAGGCTGGAAGGGACCTTAGAGACCATCTAGTCCAATCTCCCTGTCATGGGCAGGGACGTCTCTCAACTAGATCATGATACTCAAGGCTCCATCCAACTTGGCCTTTAACACCTCCAGGGAGGGGGCAGCCACAACATCTCTGGGCAATTTATTCCTAAGTCTCACCGTCCTCGTACTGAAGAATTTCTTCCTAATATCTAATCCAAATCTATTCTCCTTCAACTTAAACCCATTTCCCCTTGTCCTATCAGTGGACACTCTTGTATTAGAGTGTGTTTCTTGCCCACAAACACAGCAGACAACTCAAGTTGCTCTGTCTCAGGAGGGCATTCCACAGCACAGAAGTGACGTGCTTAATCACTAGTAATAATTTTTTATCATCTTTCCCCACATTTATACATCCTCCTGCCTTGAAGACATCACAGACCCTGCTCTGACCTCCTGTATGTAACTTGGCTACTAAAGTTCACTACAGATCCCAATGACCTGAGTTTCACCAAAACACAAACTCTCCTGCCAGCCAGAACCCTGGGAGGCAGTCACATTCCATCCGAACACATTGAGGAAGCAAGGTTTCAACTTTTTTTTATGGCAATTAATTCCAAAAGTTGTGCTTCACTTCTGTTCTACATTTGTCTCTATTCAGCTTCCTCCTGAGTAAAGATTTGCTTCCTCCTTAAATTAGTCCTATCTTTAATCAGAAACAACCCAGCTCTTAACAAGTGTCTCAGACTCAACACAAGATTCCTTTAGGAGTAGGCACAGCAGTTCATTTTTTTTTTCCTTCTGTCAGTGATTCAGCACCATGAATTATTCTGGCTAAAGAGACAAAAAATCCTGGCATCATGGCTATGCCAAGTCAATGGATCGTAGGAGTAGTGCCTGTATCTCCACTGCTCAGTCCGCTGGCGCAGTCTGTGTTGCTATAGGAAATTGTCACCCCGGGTGCTGGAAGCAGTAAGTTCCTAAACCTTTCAGTTGCATTTGAAAATGACTCCGTCTTTGCCACACTATAACTTGCTCTGGGCCTTGAAGCATTTTTATCATTCTTTCCTCCCACTTTTAAGATTAATTTTATAATAGATTATGATGCTTGCTATCTTACTGATCTTAATAGTACCATATTGGGGGTAAACCCCCTTTCTAAACCTCCACTCTACTCTGATTTATATGTACATTAATACACATCCCTTTTTTATCTATTCTTTTTATCACAGCAATGTAAGCTCTACCTGTTCTTTCCCTCCCTCCCCCCCGAGTAAACACTCTTTTTGATACTTTACACTGCTATAAAGGTAGGGTCCATGCTCTTTATAACTTACCATGTGGTTGTAGTAACGCATTCTTTATTTGGAAGGGTCCAGCATAAGGGTTTGAGACGCGTCTGGGTGGCTCTGCCAGTACTCTAGGAAATGTGCTCACTGCCAGAGCTGCTGCCCCTCTTGCCCTGAACTGATTTGTTTCAGCGGAACAGAAACACTACGCTACCAATAAAATCTAAAAATCACGTTCAATTACAAAAATAACTTAAGGTCAGATTTATACAAATCTTGTTCCCACAAAACAGCTTGAATTCATGAACCTTACCAAATTTAATCAGAATTACGTTAAGGATTCAACTACACATTCTAAGAGCACATTAACTTCAAGCTTTACTGCATACTCTAAATTTCCTGTATGTTCCAATTCCCACTTACTCCAAGCACTGAACCCTGTCTGTTGTTTTCAGCATGTCTGAAGATCAAAGAAATGAGTCCAGTCTGAAAGACTGAAAGTACAAGCTACAAATTATTTTCAACTCTATTCCTCCCCCAAATTTTGTACCCTATCTCCATAAAATACCAAACTAAACCTTTACAGCAAGAGTATTGTCAGTAACACAATTATTTTTCCAAATATTCAGATTTCCATCACTTGGTCTTATTCCTGTAAATTATCCCCTTGCACATCAAGTTGTTTTCTACCAGTGCATACTTCTTTCTTTTTACGTGATACAAAGACTACAGAAATGTTGTTCAGTTTTCATGGTGAGTTTTCTGCCAGCAACAGTTTATTATTTCTTTCAGGCTTTTTCCAATGGACTCAATATATAAAGAAAGAACAGCCTAGATTACAACAACAACAAAAAGGCAAATTAATAACACAAAAGGGGAAAACAGAAAAAGAAAGTCCACATGAAACCCAGCAGTTTATGGTGGCATTAAAAGAGAAGAAAAAAGTGTGCCCATGCAAGGGAAAATGCAAAGCTGAAAAACAGAGACATGATTAGAAACTCCGTTTTGAAGATGAAACCTCAGTGCAGGATCTATAAAAATAAGATCCAAATCCAGAGTGAGATATTTGCATAATATAAAGTAATAATAATGAGAAATTAAAGAATATTAAAATGTGAAAAATACAAGTTAAATACAGAAATTAGAAAGAAAAACAGTAAAAATATACATGTATAGCAATGGCTCTGTTATGAACTAGCATTATGTTTTAATGTGATGTAAAACCAAGCATATGGAAGACAGAGATAAGGAAAATATAGGCAGAGGGAAGTATCTGCTGAAACAGAAATGTGAGACTCAGTAAGTACAGCAACAAAAACGTGAGGCGGAAAAATGTCACAAAAAGTGAGATACTGGGCACATTTAAACCAGTAGGACTTGCTGTTTAAGGCAATCTTTCACTTCAAATATACCTTATGAAAGAACAATCTATTTCTCATATCTTCCTATATTTTCTCATACTTTTAATTGCTTACAATTATTTCACAGCCAAAGATACATAATTTATATTCTAAAAAAAGACAGTTTACCATCTCAAAACCAAGAAAAAAACAAATAAAGGGCAAACTTCTTATCTGCAGAACACAACAAGTAGGTTTGGGGAGTTGTATTTCAGCTCAACTTCTGAACGTGGATTTGAAGTCAACCTCCTGATCACACCGCACCTTGGCTCATGTTGTGTAACAAACCCTGAACGTGCTAAATGGATTCTTCTGGAACAGCAGCGGAGCCCCAGAAGGGTGGCTAATAACACTTCAGCCACCAATTAGCATTTACTTCTTGGCATCAGACTACAGCCAACCCAAAATAAAAGCTCCTGAGATGTCAACTGTCCTCAGCACCGAATGTTTTTCCCTACTCCTTGAGACTGCACTACCTGATAATTTAGACATAGTAAGTGCTTACAGGAACACAAATTAAACTGGTAAAAAGTCCATCTCATAGACACTTTAGACAGCGCAATTACAGCAAGCTTTGTGACTTTATCAAATTCCTAATTTATGAGCCTCAATTGCTATTTCATTGTTTTTGTCAGTTAGCAGTGAAATGCATTATAAGATATATCAGTGGAAACGACGCACAACAGCCAAGTTCCAACAATGATAACTGACCTTTCACAGGCGTAATTATATTGCATCTAAATAATTCAGATAAACAGCTAAAGCTACTCAGATGAAAATGGCATTTTTTTTGAGACAAATATTATTCCTATGGAAAAAATATTAAGTGGTTATTTTCAGAACTGGTGTTGTTGTCCTGATTGTGCTTTCTATGGCCAACAGAGCACATCCTGATTCTCTTAATTATAAGATCTGGAGTTACTGTTCTTTTATAATTGCTTTTGTGAATTGGGAATAATTGCTTAAATATTTACTGGGCTAGCGTATTTTCTGAAAGGCAAAACAGCGTTTTTGCTTAGAAAATATTTGCAATAGAGGGCAGTTACTTGACATTTAGAGTTTAAATGTGGTTTAGATGTTGAGTCAATTAGGTCTAATGTACTAGTGGACTAGCGAGCTCCGTCTCTGCACTCTCTGCCAGCACTGGAGTTGGAGGAGAAAGAACAGCCACACACACGTGCATTTTCAGCAGGCACAGATCCAACTATTCCTTATCTTAGTTGCTTCCCCCTCACCCCCCATGATTTATCATTCTTCTTAAGGATTTCTTTATTTGCCAAAAGGCCTACGGTATGCCCAGAGAAATTCCAGCGTACTACTGGGGCACTGTAAGACATACAGCAAAAAAAATTAACTGTAACAGATGAAAGCACCACAGATCAAAGTGGCTAGTATTAAGGAAGGATCGGAACATCAGTAAATCCTGGCTTATTGGGACAGAACAGGAAAGTCCTTGTTTTGGTATTTCAGAAGTGAAAAAAGGAAGAATGAATTCAGCTAAAGCACAACCAGCATTTGACTAACCTTATAAAGCAAAGGTGATTGTCCTAACTTCAAAAGTGCAATTTTTTTCGTCACGTTTGTAATGGCTTGAACCCGGATCAAGTCTTCCACAGTCCCATACTGGATATCAACAAGTTCTGCCTGCAAAGAGAAGACAAAAGTCAGGCTATATTGAAACCACGCATGGAGAGTGCTCCCTCCACAGAAAGAAAAAGGTGTTTCTCTAAGTACAAGCACCTGAGCAGAGTTTAACAATTACTTCATCCCCAACTCCTAATCAGGAATACCTGTAAAATAACAAAGACCTTAAGAATTCAGCCTGAAAGATATAAACTTGTATCTTTGCAGGTTTAATTCACAACTCATCAGCTGTGATAAATCCTTTTTTTTTTTTTTTTTGCCAGTGTTTATAATAAGTGGTGCTGATTCTGATGCGAATTTCCCCTTATTAGTTACAGGAATGTATTTAAAACCATGTAAGAGATACTAACTCACCTCTGTTAATTTTCCTAAAAGGAATGAGAGTCTTGTAAAGCATTTCAGAAAATGAGCGAATGATTATACTGGGTATACATACGCTCACAATATACATTTTTATTATGTAGTCTTATATGATTCCTAAACAGTCTACTCTAACTATTGAAGTATTTGCTTATAATCCACCAATTATCCAAGTATTATACTCACATAACCGTAATGATAACAGACTATATCGCTCTGATGTGTAAACTTTTCTATTAGAACATATTTTTAAATTATTTACAGTCACTTCCAACTAAATGAAAAGCATTTAGAGCATGTAGATCTTCAGCTCTTCAGTCAGGACACCGCAACAATACACAGTGAAGATCTAAGTTCTTATTAAATATCAAGCATTGGCAGTAATAGAAAAATATTTCAAGGTGTGTCGCCAAGGATTTTTTTTTTAAATACATATACACATATATAATTTAAGAATGACCAAGGGCATTTTTTCTCACACATTTATAGCCGTAAATACTGGTGAAGATAAAATAGGAGGATAATCAGTCTCGTACATTACTATTTTAGAAAGTTACAAAGCTCGTAGGACACCATGGAGGACATTCTGGAACTTCTAAATCCCTACAGTGTGTTCACAGAAAACATACATACACAAAGATACAAGATTATTATAGGAGTGTTTAAAAATTAAAGTAAGAGGAACAGAAGATGATGATCTATTCTGGATATGTACGATGTGTGAAAATTTACTAGATTCCCGAGCATGAGGATTTTAGGAAAGTATTTACTCTTCTACAACTGTATCAGAATATTTTGTCTGAGTTTGCACCTCAATGTTTAATTCACAGAAAAATTTGCCAAGGTTCCTGCCTTCTTAAGTTTTCAAGTTAACAAGATCTTAAGTTTATAACATGTTGTCAGCGCTGCGTAAACCAAGTATTTAGAAAGGTCATTCGAAGTTATAAAACAGTTCTGTAACAGGCAAACATCAAATTTAATACCAAATATTTAACGTAGGAACAGAAATTCCTGCACTCGATAATTTTTTTTTTTCTGAAATATGTGGGGATTTTCATATCCAAAGAATTTGAAAACCACTGTATAAAAATTTCAAATGGTGACTACTGGCTGAAATCCAATATAATTTTTTTCCTGTGTGGTCATCATATTTGAATACGATAAATCAAATGAAGTTTTTATATCACTTAGAATAGTGGAAGCTATTCTATATTTTACCTAATCTGATGCTTCTAGGTACAAAGAGCTCACTTCAAATGAGTCAAGGGTATTAACCCTCATACTTCCTTGAAGTCCACACAAATTTTACCTCTGTCTGCAGATCTCAGCTTTATTTTAATTTGTACCCACAGACATGCCAATAGAGATACATTAGTGCAATAATTATGAGAGTCTCAAAAGTGTTGTGGCTTGAGAGGTTATATCCTGGCTGATTTCTGGGGGGACCGCTAATTTAATTCCTTTGGACCCAACGCCTTTCCCACTTAACCCGAAGCAAACTGAAAAACAGAGCTTTCATCATTTGTATGAGGGAAACTACACTGAATTTTCCTGAGGCAAAATCAATACACAAAGATGTAACATAATGAAGTATCAAACCATTTGCTTCTACAGTATGTCTGTGTGAAAATGAGGTCCCTGCCCATCTACATTCATGTGCTTCGTCTCTGCACATCATTTTTGCGAGCTGCTCCTCCAGGGTGCGATCCACTGCTCTGTAAACAACAAAACTACATGTTTGCACAATTATTAATGCATTTAGCAACTGCCCTTGGATGTTCTTTGTTAATTTATGGATGCAGACTGCATCTTCAAGAGCTGCTCGCCAGTCATACGAGCTCAACAAGAGCAGGCTGAATAAAAGACCCTACAAAAGCACAACTCATTTTTTAATTATGTGAGAACCACAACTCGACTCCCTGCTGCCCCAAACACTCTGCAAACCATGTTCTTTGCTCTCAATGTTAAAAGAAAGCCCCGATGCCAAAGCTATTAAATGCATTCATACACTGAGAGCACGGGTAAGAAGTCATTACGCAATGAAAAAGCAGCTGGGTATAATATAGCAAAGAATTACACGCGCTTTCATTGCATCTTCTACATGAATAATATGCCAAAGCTCAGTATATGAGAAAGCTTTATTTTGCACCTGCCTGAAAATAAGTACGACCTAGGCTTCTTGTTACTGGCCAACTTTAGGGGTAGTTGCACCCTTGTACTTCACTGTAACTTCGAAGCAGTTCTCATTGCAGATCTTTGACTCCTAATTTTACCTTTTTGGGAATCATGGGTTAAAATATCGCACACGTCTACCAAAGTAAGTTACCACATCCTGGTAACACCGCATATAGACTAGCAGCTGGAGGGCTGCACAGTTAATCTCAGATCTAACTTCAGTTAAAGTGAAAAAAAGCAGAATAAAATCTTCTGTGGAGCAGAATCACACATGGCTCCTCCCCTCCCCAGTGAAGTCGATAGCCCACTGCAAGAGTTTAGAACAAAGTTGTAACATTTTGCCAGCACAGTCCAGAAACTAACAGGTGAACACTAAATTATAACAATAGTTTCAAAAATCATTTCACCTCTTCCTTTCTTCTACACTTTAATACTTCAGTAAAACTTGTAATAAAAAGCAAAATATTTTGCACTATTTATCAACAGCAACTCATCAACTACAGTACAGGAACACCGGCTCAGGTAGTCAGTTCTTTTTTATTTAATACACTAGACTCACCTAATAGGACCCTTCTAGCACAAAATACTGAAAAAATACACCTTTAAAATACCGTTAGGGAATGTTAAAGAATGCGAAGAGTGCTACCTTTTCAACAATCTATTGAGAAATTAAAAGTCCATTTATATTGCAAGAAGTCCTGCTTTACTCAAAAAAAAAAAAATCCCAAGATCTCCAAAAATGAAAAATGATTACATTTCTATTCTTCTTTTTTAGAAATGCTTGCAACATGACATAATCCTGATTTTACACAGATTCATAAAAGCAGGATATCCCCACCCCCACCTACTCATATTTGATAAACTGCCTTCCTTTGGTGGGATAATTCTATTCAAAACCAAAAGAGAACTCATCCTTTTATCAGGTGGAGAAAAAGAGCACTCGCGTACTTGGTTTAGATTCGCAAGGGTAAGTCCTCTTACCCTAAAACTGAGAAACTGCTAAAGAATAAGTTCTTTTCTCTGTTTGGATTAGGTACTTACTCTTTGAGTTGTTTCATGCTATGCTGTTTGAAAGATACGACTATTTAGGAACAAATTGCAATGTGTAATATGGAGTTCAGTAGTATTCCCCCATGCATGAAATGAAGTAGCGGCAGGTAATAAAACAAATATTTTTAGAAAAAAGCTTAATTATCATATGTTAGCCTTATTATTAGTTTCTAAGTCCCAAGACGATGGTCAATGAGTTGTAAATGTTCTGTCTTAAAAACTATGCTGAAATCCCCCCAAGACAGAAATAACATGCGCTCTGAAAATGCCACAATCAAGACAGCAAAGGATCTTTTCCCAATTTCTTCTACTTATCTCCAAAATGAAAGGGAATAAAACAGTGTATTTCATCCAGTCATGGACATAAAAGAGTAAGGAAAGAAAAGGTGTGAAAAATTGTATGAAGCAGGTGGAAGTTGGGGTCTTATACTATTTTAAAACTTTTCTTTCATTGCAAATACTGAGACAAACATCCCCCCCCCCAAAAAAAAAGATAAATATCAAAAACAATAATGGAAATATGTTTGTCACATCACATTGGTAGCATTCAGTCCATTTGAATGAGGAAAGGAATTTAATAGCATTATACACCTGCATTCAATACACTGGCTAAGAGGAAGATTGTGGCTGATCCACCAGGGGCACACAAGACAGGAAAAAGGTTACGGGAAAAACTCACAGGAAAACAAAACAAAACAAAAAAACAGCAACCAAAAAACCTCAAAGCCAGTATAGCCAGGAAGGGATGCTTCTTACAATCACCAAAAAGCAGATAGAGTCAGTGCAGTTAGGCAGGAGGCTCTTAAACACATCTCCTCTAGATATGAAGGCTGGAAAATCACCGTAGAAAAGCACCACACGTAAGCAAATAGTTCTACTATTATTTCTTAAGGGAATACATTAAGATAAATATTGAGCAAGCTCAAAGAAATATTATCTGATTGTGAACTTATGCAGAAAACAAAATCAAAAGAAGTATACAAATGGCTGAGGTAAAAATATCTCTTAATGCTACCTCGCTAGTGCCACAGTTCAGTAACCTCGAATTATGACTATATTTTATCAAATATCAATTAGTTTACTCATAAAAACATGCAGCTTCTACACAAACTATTTGGGAGATCAGGAGCACAGCAGCTGCAGCTATGAAAATGACTGATATTCAGTAGCACAGTAAAGCTCATATTCCTGCCAATTCTAACCTACCCACTGAAAGAGCATCAGAAATGGTTAACGTAAAAAACCTCCATGCATTGAAGAAAACTAAATATTAAATGCTATGTATAGGTTACATTTAGGAATGCTTATTCCTCAGAATTAAGACAATTTTTCCAAAATTCTAGAAGTGTCAACTTCTTAGTTCTTGACTTCTCAGGCTTAGTACATCTCCTTCTTTTACTCAAGTCAATGCCTTT